TATATATATATATATATATATTTATTTATTTATTTATTTATTTTTGGCAATGGAGGCTCTGCTAGGGTTGGAGTTTTCGGCGATTCCGGGGCGATTTCCAGCTAACAATGGTGGTGCAGATTCTTCCCTCTCTTGCTTTTGGTGAGATCTTCCTAATTTATTCTCCTGCTTGTTCTCTTTCTACGTTTTGGGTGTTTCTGGTTTCTTTTCTCTTTCCCAAATCTCCTCGTCGGCTTTTGGAGGTTGTGGGGTTTTCATCTATTGCTTTTGATTTTCGTTTCTGTGGATGTTTTGGGGAAAGTGTTTTCTGGATTTTGGCTTTTTCATTGTTGTTGGCATTTTTTCTTAGCCTTATGGCCCCTGTTTCGCGATCTTTTGTGGATGCGGTTTTAGATAGAGGGGGATGGACCTCCGGATCTCCTGACTCTTGTCTCTTTCCACAAGGTTTTCATGATTCTTTGAATGTTAGTGGTGATCACTCTTTTATTAAGAAACTTGGAAAGAAAAATGACTAGTTTGCGATGTTCATTTATGAGTTTGAGTCTTCTATTTTCGCTTCTTCCGGTCGATTGCCTTTGGTCGGTAAATTTATATATGGGATTCCAAAAATTGAATTTATTAGAAGGGAATTTGAAATGCATAAATTAAAGGGCTGGTGGAAGGTTGGAATTCTGGATGCTAGACACATTTTGATACAGCTTGCTAACGACGAGGACTATACTCAGCTCTTTACTAAGCGATTTATTAGAATCGATAATCGTGCTATGAAATTTTTGAAGTGGTCTGTTAATTTTGATCCTAAATCTAAATTGCCGATCCTACCTGTCTGGATTCGATTTCCTGGACTTAAATTACATCTCCTTAACCACTAAATTCTTTTTTCCTTAGTCGCTACCTATGGTAAGCCCCTTAAAATGGATAGTGCTACTTATAATATTACAAAACCATCTGAGGCCCGTGTTTTGGTAGAAAGAGACATTACTTAACTAGTTTATGATGAGATTTGGATTGGTTCATGATCCCTTGATACTACTAATATGCAAAGTACAACAATAATTCAGATTATATTTCACTTATATTTCCTTACTTTACAACAAAACCAAAAACTTGATCCGGAAGAAAAATAAGAATTTAACTTTTAATTTATATGTATTTGGATACTACGCAAGTATATGTATCGTTATCAAGTAATATAGAACTTATTTATTAAGACCTGAATATCGAACCCACATAAAATTTATAAAATATGCACATTTAGAAAACTTTCTATTTTTAAAAAGGCAATTACTTAAACAGAATATATTTTGCATTAATAAAAATTCAAATATTTTTGGTATTTTTTATATTTTGACAAAACAGTAACAACTTAAAAAGATAATTAGAGTTTTGTAGATGAAAAGCACTTAATAAGAAAAATATTTTTCTTCTTATCATTAATCAATAATAAGTATAAGAATTCTATTGTGGAAGTATGTAAATTGTGTTGTGCCAAATAGGAGCAATAATATTCTTTACCCTTACTAGAGTTGTTATAAGGAACATTGGCTAATTTAAAGTTTGAATAGTTCTAAAGACCGACTAGGCAGAGAAGATACTAGCTCTCACTCTAGAGTTCCCTCGATTCCCTCCACTTGGGGGCTAACATCTAGTATTAGAACCTAAAATAATAAGCCAAGTTGGGGGTTTTAACCTGTCACTTTAATGTCCTCTAACTCTACACCCTTCAATGAATATTTCCATATTTATTTGCACTCAATCATATGAACTACATTCTCATTCATACAACCTCATGTGATTCTTTCCAATTGTTGAATGAGACAATACCGGCCCGGTTCTTACATATTCTCACAATAAATTTTAACATCTGGATTGGTCAAATCAAGAAGTAAATGAAGTGCATGGATTTAAATCATCACAACTTCTTCCAACATTAAAGATCAATACTCTCCATAATTTCCATCCAAAACTTAATTACTTATCATTTTAAGAAGAAAGTTAAATAAAACTACTCAAAATTCATGGAGAAAATAAAACCACACTTAGTTTAAAAGTAGAAATCATTGTCAAACCAACAACAAGTCTCAATTAAAACCAAAAATAGTCTCAAAGAAAAAAGATAAAAACTTATCTCAAGTTCTCTACCAAACTCTTGAAGTTCCTCTGAATCTCTTCTCTTTACAATAACTCAAAATAAACTAACAAAAAGAATAAAATAAAAGTAAAAGTGGAGCCTGAAAATCTCTTTAACTAACTCCCCAAATTGATGAACTTTCAAAACATTCCAAGTATTTTCAGGACTCTTTTCAAATTCCTCTTTTCTTTCTTTTATAGTTTTCCAAGATGTGCCTTGAAAACTCTTCAAAATGTGTCCCAATTTAATGTATTTCCCAAAAAGATGCATCCTTTCGTGATAATTTTTGTCCATGGTGGTTTATACCCCCCATTTAGTGGTTATAACCACCTATTAAGCCAATGGGTGTCTTATAATCCTCTTCAAAATTCACAAAAACTGACTTTATTCATCTAGTAACTGCCACTGACGCTTAAGCGTGGGACCTTTGGCTCTTTTGGCTCTTAGGCGTGGCCTTCTCTGTTTAATCGGCGCTTAAGCGTCGGTTCTGGCGCTTAGGCGCTAAAATACTTTTGCACCATTTTGCATTTTTGCTCCAAATTTGATCATTTTTCACTCATTTTAGCATTTTTCACATTTTTACTTGTATCTGAAAGAAAAACACACAAATACCTTCCATTAAAGCGCATTATCTCAAAATATGTATAAAAATGTGTCTAAAAATACTATATATTTTAGGTGTATCAATGAGTTCGTCCAAGTGACCGATTTATTCAATAGATTGAATGACTACCCTATCCTAGGAGGTGAACCAATATGTATGATCTGTATATGAGTTTCTTTAGGAATTACTGAAATTTTTATTTAGAAATATAGCAGTCTAATATAGAAAAAATATTTAGTAAATGAGACCAACTTAAAGTTTAGAAATTTTTTCAAATTTAGAATTTAGTTCTTTTATTATCTCCACTAATAATTTTCATTAAAAATAATTTTGCTTACTATATTATATTTATAAGCTTAAGAGTTTCTCAAGTCTTTACTTTAAAAGATCAAACGTAGAACTAATTTTTAATAAGACACTAATGCTCAAGCTTCTCCTTCCTAATTTTTTTTCTCTTTTTCTTTTTCTTTTTGTTTTTGTTTTTCTTTTCTTTCTCTTTTTCTTTTCTTTTTCTTCTTTTTCTTTTTTTCTTTTCTTTTTCTTTTCAGGCAAGGATTACTATATCTAGATAGACCTATAATGATTTTGAATTCCATTTCTCCTTTCCTAAAGCAAAGTCTTGATATAAGTCTTTTACTTATAAATATAATAATAGTTTTGAAAATTATTTTAATAAAAGAAATCTAAGTATTAAAAATAAAAGTTTAAATTATCTAAATTTTTCAAAAATTCAATTTTTCTTACTAAAGATAGTTACTTATATTAATCATTTTCTCATCTAAACACTTTTTAACTTAAAGTTTTTTTTCATTACTAAAAATTTTAACTAAATTTTCTTACTCATTTCTAAAATCAAATTTTACTTCTCTAATATAACTTCATATACATAATCAGTT